ACGAGCAGCCTCGTGGGCACACTCGTTAAGGCTCAGAGAAACCTCCTCGATTGCCCCGACGTGAGCAGGGAACCATAAGATGCTGTGTGGCGCTGTCACTGTTTCTGGCACCTTTCAGAATATGAACTACTTGCCGTGCAACCCGGCCGTTCTGAAATGCCCTGATGGCTCCTTTGGAGTCGCTATACACGCTGTCTCTCCGACCGTCTTGCATGGCGAGTGCAATGGCCACTTGCTCGACCACTAAAAAAGCCTTGCCATTTCGGTACGCGGTGGCATCTACGAAGCTTGCCTTAATCTTATTCTTGGAAATTTGCTGAAGTATCGTCGCCGCTTTTGCCTTGCGACGACCTGCGTTGTGCACTGGATGGACATTCCGGGGCAGTGGAGCAACGATGAGTTTCTCCCTTATTTCTTTCGGTAATTGCGTGTTGTTGGCTAAATTCTTGGCGGCGGTGAGTCCAAGTTCTTCAAGTATCTGCCTTCTGGCCAGTGCGGTAGAGAGCCGAGCTAGCTGAGCCCGTTCCTGAGCCTCGGCTATCTTATCCATGGTGTTGTGTATGCCGATCCGAAGGAGGTTCTGGGTATGCGTTCTCACGGGCAGCCCGAGGGCTCTCTTGACAATTTTTCTTAAGCTTGTCACACTCTGCTCTTAGACAGTTGTTCATGGCCACCGTGTAAGTAAAGTGACACCGCACAATGGTGTTGATGAGCCAAAGCAGGTTGTCCTCCTTGAGGCCCCGACATTTGTTCGTGATTCTTTGAAGGAGCCAAAAGCGTTGTCGGTCTTTGCAGTGATCTTGCGCAACGCAGTGCCATTGCCGCCACGGTATTCGATAAACACACCCAGGACTCTGGTTGTGTCGCCCCTAAGTATTGGGTCGCCACTCCGCGTGAACAAGTAAATGTCACTTTCAGAGACCGGCGTCCAACCCTTGGGTCTGCCCCCTTTTTTCTTTTCTGTAAAGCACGAGTTCAGACTTAGTCGGGGAGTACCTGAGTCCGGTAAGTAGGAGGTACTGTTCCGCCGGTGCACCAGATTGTGATGTCGTCGGCGTAGATGGTGTGGTTGAATCCTTCGACTTGGGGCAGTTTCTTCAAAAGACCGACTATGCAGATGTTGAATAGAGTAGGTGAAATGACCGAGCCTTGCGGTACACCCCATGGGCTCAGCAGCACCTCGTCAGAGACATAGTCACCAATCCGCAGTTTCGCTTTCCTCCCGGTCAAGAACGAACGGACGTAGTTATATAGTTCGGGGCCTAGCTCGAGGCCCGCGACAGAAGCCAGGATGTATGAGTGGAGATCATTGTCAAACGCCATCTCGAGGTCGAGTCCAAGCAAGGCCCTGGTGTCCCTAGTACGAACGTCAATTATTTGATGCTTGATCATCTTCGTGGTGTCCTGCGTTGACAAACCGGCCATTACTAGAACCGGACCCAGTCGTGGAGGTAGAACGGCTCCTGGAACGACTCCCAGAATGGCTACTGGATCCAGATCTGCCCTGGACCTGGAACGACGTCCGGAAGGCCCTGAGGTAACTGACGAAGAGGTGCTTCTGAAGCTGGAGCATCCGCAGGCTCCTTGGTGACCAGCTTGGGCCGAGAAGTGGCAGTTGTCCTTAGCGAAAACAGGAGACTTGCTTCTATTTCCACGGGATTGATCTGCGCGTCTGCGTCTCACAAGGTACGGCATCCGGTACCTCTACTTGCACTCCTTGGCACCGGTAAAATGCCAGCCACAACACAGTTTGCACTTGGGGTCGCACGTGTGGTTCTTACGCGGATCGGCGACGCAGCATCCCCTGCACACGATGTCGTCTGGACAAGGGCACACGTCTGCTCGATGTCAAAGACAGCCACAGGCGTAGCACACCTCTGCTTGTTTTCTATACAAGGTACACCGGATGAGAGTACCACCGTACGAGACGTAGTTTGGCATCCTGTAGCCGTCGAAGACCACAACCATAATGCTCGTGTTATTGAGTGGCTTGGCCCCCAGGGCCAGCGGGTTCTTTCAGTTGACTATCTTGTGGTCGAGCTCTGCTGGACCCTCACTCGGTGCAATGCCACGGATGACGCCCTTGCACGTAGAATCGGGAGCCGCTTCGCGCGCGTTGACTTTGTGCTGCTGACCCCCAACAACAATGCATTCTACTTAGGCATAACGAATTGCGTTCTCCCTGCAGGGCGTACTGTCGACAATGATGTCTTGTTGAAAATACGGGCACATAGTGTCCGTGTCCCGTGACACCGAGTCGATGCCGATTACTTTCCACATGGCCTCAGCCACAATGGTCAGGCCTTCCTTGCTGATGTTAAGACCTCTCATCGGCCTTACGATATCTTCGCTTCGTCTTTGGGCAGTGGAGGCATCCTTCCGCCATGGAAAATCCGGGATTTAGCTCTCCCGTGGTTTTGAGGACCCTGGGCGGCCACATCGTCGTTCGTGTGAGCACCGGTGGAAACAGCTCCATCTTGCTTGACGGACGCCGACTTGTCTCGGGAGCGCCTGACAGCAAATGTTTGTCATCCAGAATTCTTGGCGAACTCTTCGGGAGTCAGAAGCACTCAATCCACTTCCATCACTGCACAGTCTCCATTTCCGCACAAGAGAGAAAAGAGGCAGACGCCGCAGCAGCAGCACCGCGAATATCGCAAAAAGTCCACCAACCTCCAAAATCTGGGTATAGGCGTAATTGCTACACCTTTACGAGTTTGTTGGTGCTAAAAGCATCGAACTGGGCACAACTGAAACGATCGAAATCATTTACGTAAGCGGGAGCCCGTCCTAACACATCCGCAGCCAAGAGATGCTCCCGCGCATCTCCCACCACGTGACATGGTTTATATAATTTAACACAAGAAGCGTAGTTTATGTAATTTGTTGATTGAACAGATAAATAAAGATTGAGATAAATAATGAGACGCAATAAGGAAATGTGCGCGTCTTTCATTTTTTTCCGTGAACTGCAATGAGATGCGGGGCTAATGGGCCAGCGCTTCGCATGCGTTCATGTCCCCGTGGTCAGCGCATCGAGTAGATGACAGCCGTGTAACGCTACGCGTTCGCGCACTCATAGTGCTCATTTATTCTACCGCGTTTAAGCCAGCGCTTCCAAACCATCCTGTAGAAACAGGCAGTGCACCTCAAAGCAGTGCCTACAACAAAATAATAAATAAATAAACGCTACTCGCGTGCACGGGGGTTGGGCTTGCTCAGGCACGTCATGCGCACGTGATCTCTTGGGTCGGATACCGGAGAGGGTAGGAAATAGATTTGGCTTGCGAAGGCTACGCTGAGGAGGGGCAAGGATTTCGAGCTGGCCTCCTCTCATCTCCGTTTCGCACCACTTCAAAAAAACATTTTTCTCAGTTCGTAATTAACCAATTAAAAAAAATTCTTGTGGCAAAATGTTCCTCATTGGACACCCAGCAACTTCCATGGTTTAACTAAAATTCAGTATGGGGCCTGGTGCGTAGTCATTTAAAGAACGAAGGTATTTCGAACAACCTGAAAAGGGACCTGGCGGAGCATTTACCGGCATTTGTGACAAAAATGGACTAGTGTTAACGCCTCTGACCATAGCCTCCTTTATTTTCTGTGCCCGCGCAGTCAGTCCGCCGGGCCCGTTCGGCCGCCTCCCGCATCCTCCTCTCTTTTTGCGTCTGCTGTCCGCCAGGGGCGCTCGCATCCCAGAATCGAGTCGGCGCATTCAGCCGCGGCGACGCATCTCCAGGAAACCTTTGTTCGTGTCGCATACGTTTGCAACACCAATTATTTACGACCAAAACGGTACGTAGTACTTTCAGCAAGTATAATTGTAACTGTTGCTTCATTGTGTTGCGTGAGCAGATGACACGCGGCATTAACTGAGCGCGTATAAACAAACAACGTCGTTTGTACCCCGCGTTTGCACGGCCGTTGTCAAGCGCGGCTATCATTTTTCGCGCTTCTTTCTGGCAATACTTTTCCGCGCACCTATCTTCGCAGCGTAGTACTTTCAGCAAGTATGATATTTAACTGTTGCTTCATTGTGTTGCGTGAACAGATGACACGCGGCAATAAGTGAGTGCGTGTAAACAAACAACGTCGTTTGCACCTCGTGTTTGCAGGGCCGGTTTCATGCTTTGCTATCATTTTTCGCGCTTCTTTCTCGTGAGGCTTTTCCGCGCACCTATCAGCGAATTTCGCTAAGTAATCAGGAATGTTAGTTTACGGTTTCTCTCGTTTCTGTCTCGTGCAGCGGCCTACGCACACAAGTCTCCGTGGTTCATTCGGCTGTGATGACCCGCGTCAGGTGCGATGGCGTACTGTTGCGTGCCCGGTTGCAAGTCTTCAAGCAAAAAGAAGGAAGTAGGAATTTCATTCCACGAAATTCCAAGCGACGAGGAGTTGCGGCAAAAGTGGATAAAAGTCATTTCACGAGACAATTGGACGCCGAACACCACTTCCTGCTACTCAACCGTGTGCAGTCGTCATTTCGCTGCTTCTGATTTTAAGCAAGGATGTAAAACACGAAGGCTTATGAAAGGTGTGGTGCCTAGCGTATTCGAAGAATATCCGCGCTACTTGCAGCCTTCGACAAAAGCCCCGAGAAGTGACGCGACGATCAGAAAAAGAGCCAGTGTGTCAGAATGTCCCACAGCAACGAAAAGGCGAGCCGTGCGTTGTAGCAAGTCCGACTACCCTCCGTGGAATGGTGATGATATCCCTACCAATGGCGACGGGCGCGATATGTCACCACCGGCATGCAGTATCACCTGTGAGGACGGCATCCCTGCTACGAGGCAACAAAGCGATCGAGCTGTACAAGTATCAGTACCTACATTTGTCCCTTCCGTCGAGCGAATGAAGTGGCGACGGAAAGAGCGTGACCTCAAAGCACAGATTCGCCGCCTGAGAGAGACTGTAGACAAATATAAGCAAGAACTTGAAAAGCTCAAAGAAGATTGTTACGTTCTTGCCTTTCGTCATATACACGAAAAGGCAAACGAAAAGGACGTACAAGCATCGATCTTGTTAGAGCAAATCGAAAATTTCCAGAAGGTAAAGCCTACGTGGTCGGAATTGACAGTACGCCACGCAGTTGTACTGCGAAATCTCTCAACGCGAGCGTACGAGCATATGAGGACCGAAGGCATACTTCGCCTTCCATGTCGAAGCACGTTGGAACGTTTCATGGGGTCATCACGTGGAGAAGTAGGAGTGACCGACCTAGTGAAGCAGAGGCTGTTTGCGGAGCTGACTTCCCACACTACGTCCCAGAGTAGAACGTGTTCGCTGATCATTGATGAAATGAGAGTGAAGCAGCGGCTTCTCTATGTAAAGCAGAGGGATGCGTTCATCGGCGAAGTGGACTATGGACAAGGCATCCCTGTGGAAGCAGCAGATGAGCCAGTGCTGGCCAACTCACTTTTGTGCTTCATCTTGAGTGGCCTGTCGACACACTTTAGGATACCAGTGGCATATTTTTTCACGAAAAATTGCAAAGGCAAGGAGCTACACTTGCTCATGCGCCAGGTACTGAAGGAAGTCGAAGCCGTTGGCTTTGCTGTGGTGAGAGTCGTTACGGACAATCACCGGATTAATGTTATGGCATTTAAACTGCTGTGCAACGGAACTTTGAGGCACGTCATGCCACACCCTGAAAATCCTGACCGCAAGCTTTTTTTGGCGTTTGACCAATGTCACTTGATCAAAAATGTGCGGTCACAGTTTTTGGCTCGTGACCTCGGCAAAGACGGAGCTATCACGTCAGAACACGTGAAGAACCTGTACAAAATGCAGCAAGACAGCATTGTGAAGCCAGTGAGATTCTTGACAAGGAAGCATGTATTTCCGAGTAACCTGGAAAAAATGAATGTGAAAAGAGCCGTCCAACTGCTGTCCCCTGCCGTTACTGCAGCCCTCAAGCTTCTGAAGGAGCAGGCGGGGCACACCTGCGATGCAAGTTTTTTGGAAGTTGACGAAACGGTTGAGTTCATGGAGACTGTCTATCGGTGGTTTCTGTTGATGGATGTGAGCAACTGCTCCCAACACATCCACCAAAACAACCCAGACTCCAGGCAGTTTGACTCTGAGAGCGATGAGCGCCTGGAGTGGTTAGAGACAACCTTCATAGACTATCTTTCTACTATGAAACACCAATGCCTTGCAAAGAACTTCTTGACAAAGGAAACATACCAAGGCTTGGTCATGACCACACATTCTAATGTCGAGTGCGTTCGGTATCTGTTGACAGAGAGTCATTTTCTTTTTGTGCTGACCAGGAAAATGTCTTCTGACCCCATTGAGTCGTTCTTCGGGTGGCTGAGAAAGTCAGCAGGGAGCAACGACCAAACAGATGCCAGAGCTGTTCTGTCTGGAATCGAGAAAATGTTGAAAACGGGCATTGCTTCCAAATCTGACTGCAGTAATGTCATCTCTGTGGAAAACAGCAATTCTTTGCCGGCAATGCTGCGAGATCAGCCAGTCATTGCTGTGCAGGCTGCGGAACATTTCCCGAGGGAAGCGTTAATAGCGCTATCAGAGAACCTGAGCGAGGGCAACGAACTACTTCCGACGCCAGATATAGCGGCTCTAGCTATGGTCGGAGGCTACCTGGCAAGAGCCATAGGTGAGAGGACCTCCTGCGAAGAGTGCTTGAGCCTGCTGACAAAGCCGGGTTCTTCAGGGACGTCAGATGCCCTGATCAAACATCAAGACAGGGGCGGGCTCCTCTACCCATCTGGAGAGTTGCTACACGTTCTCTACTGCCTGAGAAAGTACATTGAGGTTGTGCTAGCGAAAAGAAGACACCTGAAGCACCCGCTCAAAGAGGCCGTGGACAACGCTGCCAATGTACTTCGCGAGCGCAATCTTCTCGTGTGTACAATGCCTGGGCACCATGAAAAGCTCCTGGATGTGCTGCTCACAAAGTTCTTCCGTCCCATTTTCACGAATTTTGCAATGAAAGTGACGGACAAGCATGACTTTTTGAAGGTCTTCGAAGTGAAGCCACTTTCGCGAAAAGTGCTAAAATTGTGATTGCTGCTTGTGAACAGTGTCAACGAGGGTACTAAAGCTCGTCAGACTGTGTGCGTGTGAGGAACGTTTCGATCAACGCCCTCTTGTTCGTTTCCGCAGGTCGCGAATGAATTAAAACGCAATAAACAAGTTTCTCTACCGTTTCCTTGAAGGTATGGTGTTCTGTTCAATGTGCTATCTTGCGTACTTATTCTTTCTCTCTTGCATATGTTCTCTCCTAAATATTTAAGTGGCACACGGGAGTGGTATCACACTTTTGTTTTTTAAGCTTGCCGCGCTTACAAACGCGCAACGAAGGACCCACCCGTCAGTGCCGGCGGTAGCACCGGAGTCAGTGAACAGGCTCTGCCAATTCTGGGAAGGCAGCGCCGCCTGGTGGTGATTGCGGGAACTCAGCCTGACGGTCGGCTCCCTTTGATCCCGGCGGCAAAGCGCAGGCACAGAAAATAAAGGAGGCTATGCTCTGACTCTCGGTGGAGTTCCACGCACTACAGTGAATCCACTGTCTCTCTCTAGTTTTTTTTTCGTTTCTTTCTTTTCCCTCAGCACTCTTCCTCATATTTGCATTTCCTTTCCTTAATCCCCTAGTGTAGGGTAGTAGTCTTCCTGCTTAACCTCCGTGCTTTCTCCCTTTCTGTTTCCTTCTTTCCTGACAAAGATGCATCAACCAGCTACTTACAGCTTCTTCCTCTTTACCCCGCTTTAGACATCGCTTCTGTATCGATGCAGATACCAGTTGCCTTCCTAGAAGCTTCCACTACACCTAACTGAAACGCCAGAGAGGGCTGCGTTCAATGTCTTCAGTTGTGAATAGGAAATATAGCGTTTATTGTGCCACCGTCCTCAGTTCCCATCATGAAGACGAGCACCGTCCAACGCATGGCTACAAGTTGACGATCTGCAGTTGTCCGCGCAGATGCTGCTCGGGCGCCACCCTTATAGTACATTTCACCGGGCAACAAGGTAGTCAAGGTACTTTTTTAGCTTCTTAAGGCTGACTAGTCTTTTGAACGCCTTTGACTGAGTGGTACAGCCCACGCTAGACCGTATAACCACAACGCATCGTGCCTACCCTCAACCCTTGCTTTCCAATTGATGTTCTCCTCGTCACCCAGTGGACTGCAACCAAGCCGACAATAGTCTGGTTCCTGCCTTTCCTTTTCTCCTGCTCTTCAACTTGCTGGCTTCACTGTATTCACTTATTTTATCCTGTTTTTTTTTCTTTCGGAGGTCAATACGAGCCTTACCACATGCACACGGTGCCCCGCCGCGGTGGTCTAGTGGCTAAGGTACTCGGCTGCTGACCCGCAGGGCGCGGGTTCGAATCCCGGCTGCGGCGGCTGCATTTCCGATGGAGGCGGAAATGTTGTAGGCCCGTGTGCTCAGATTTGGGTGCACGTTAAAGAACCCCAGGTGGTCTAAATTTCCGGAGCCCTCCACTACGGCGTCTCTCATAATCATATAGTGGTTTTGGGACGTTAAACCCCACATATCAATCAATCACATGCACACGGTGGACGAAGACTCCACTCGATATCGTAAACTTCATCCTTATAGATAGCATTGTCCGAGGTAATAATCTGATGCTGCAACCTCATAGTATTTCATGGTTCAATGTATCCACAGATTTTTTTCCTTCTTTTTTGTTTCGCGTGCCCTCGTTGTCGACCAACATCGCTTTTATGTATAGACCATGGAAGCATACTACCCCTTTAAAGGTCATCCGTGCGAAAAAGTTAGCTTGAAGCCCACACACCACGGGGATATTTTTTGATGCCATACCACTGCTTTCACCCGATTGGCACATTCCAAGGCATGGCTGTAGTATTGAAGAACTTTCTTTTTCTTTTTACCTAATCTATTTCCGTACACTGTCCTGTTTCATTCTCTTTCACAAATGCATGAAGGCAGCGACGACGTTATATAGGTTGCATTGAAAGAAAGAAAGAAAGAAAGAAAGAAAGAAAGAAAGAAAGAAAGAAAGACAGGAAAAAAGAAAGAAAGAAATGAAATGAAAAAAGAAAGAAAGGAAGAACTCAATACGACAGCGTTGGTTATATTCGTCCCACAAAATCGCCGCATTCCCTGGTAATTTGCCGACAGCGTGCCACATGCTTCCGCCTTTGTTTTCTTATTTTTTTCTTGGAAGTATAGGCCCTCGCGGACACCGAACAAAAAGTCAGCAAAAAAGAAAACGTTGCTCTAGCACCCTGCGTGCATTCCTGCATACGTAGGCTCCGGTGTTGTATCTGTCCATCGCTCCGTTGTCGACCTCGAAAATGCATCAACGCCTCCCACGTTACGGTTTCCATCGGCACCGAGTACGTACGCGGCCGCCTTCTCCGAAGGCTCTCGACTTTCGAAGGCCCTGAAGCCGAGGCTCTTGAGAGGAGAATAAAGAGATAGGCATGCGATGTTGTCGCGTGTCTTCTCCTAGTTACACAAACTTTAACGGGACTAGAAAAATAACGTCGTGTTAATGATGCATCCTATTGCTCTAGTTTTCTCGAGTCACTCGTTTAACTAACACATGGTGGTGGGGGCGACGGCAGCGGAAACAAAGACAGGATGACGATTTCCACAATATAGTTTCCACAATATAGTTTCCTGAAATAAACTAGAGGGGACTCTGTCGCTGCAATCGTTCAGTGACCATGGTAATGATGGGTAGTACACACAATTGCCTAGTCTTCGTACTTGCGGACGGTGAATCGTACTTGCGACTTCATTTACTGCCGTGTTTCGGTTTCGCTTTGAAAGAAAGATTCAGCCCCTTTGAACTCCGTGACCCGATTTGGAAAGGTAAGTCTAAAAGAATAAGGTGGTGAAGCGCAATCGCTGAACATTTGCTGATTTTTGTTTCGTAAGAAAACAGCCCTAAGCCACACGAACACACACGGAACTAAAAGCAGGACACAAGTACGAAGATTAGACAAATGTGTGTTCTACCCACCATTCCCATGTTCGCTGAAGCACTGTGCGTTGCAGCGCCATAGACAATAGCGCCAGAGTTCTCTCTAGTGTATTTTAGCAAACTCTGTGATTCCGACATGCTTGATGATTACATGATTGTGCTTCATCGTGTCTGAAACCATGAAAATTCTCGTGAACTTCAAGTTGCGGAAAGCCTTGTTCTCCTCTCGAGAAGCCGGGGGGGGGGGGGTCATAGATTCAAATACGCGTGCATGCATGAGCTGTTATATGACTGGCAATGCATGGACTCCGCCTGCAAGGGACGATCATCGGCGAGCTCTCCAAACGCGGTTCGCGTCTTGCCGGAACGCGAGAAGTGTCCGTGTGTGCCACATGGAACGCGCATCGGCGTCGCTGAGACGCACAGCGGCGTCGGACAAGGAGCGCGTGCACGGACCGAGGGTTATATACGGAGCGTCGCGTGTGCGCTGCGCGCTCTCTCTCTGGCCTTCGCTGGCCCTCTCGTGTCTCATGTAAAGGCATGTCTGCTCGTCTAGTTTGCTGAGTTCTGTAAACATCATCTTATTATGAAAATAAGTCGTCAGTCTTTTGTGTGAGCAAGAAGCCTCTCAAGAGTTCTTCCCCGGGGCCTGGGCTGGCCAGTTGTGCCCCGCTCTTCGGTCACATTAACTCGTTGGCAGTGGCGTGATACGGTTGGATTCAGTGGTGTTCTTTCCTGGTACCGATGCTGGCGAGTGCTTGCTTTCCGTAGAGATTCTACCAGGTGTTTTGGATGGATTATGACGTTTATCTAAAGAGTAACATTGGTCGCAGCTTCGTGACAGCTATTGTTTTTCAGAACTACCTTCACAGCAGCTTGAGCAGCGGAAGTCTGTACTCGGTGACGATGGATTTGAACAGGTTAGGAAAGCCGGATCAAGTATTTATGTGCGGAGAGTTGGGGATTTATGCGTTGATGATACATAGAAAGCCACATTTTATACAGGCGATCAAAGACTCCAGAGTGGAAGAAGAGAGGCTTTGTGATTGTTCCGAACTCATACAGGCCATGCGTAGGGAAGCCGAAGAACGAGAACTGCTTGCTTTAGAAAGAGAGAGAGAGAGAGATAGAAACCACCAGGCGTAAAGAGGAAGCTGCAGCTCATGAAACGAAAATGGAGCGATTGAGGCTTGAGCTTCAGATTGTCCTGGCGAAACGTGCCGGTGGTCAGGGCACAGTAAATGCAGAGTTTTATGATAGACCTGGCACGGGCAACATTGAGCGTGAGGTTGAGCTAGCTGGTAAGTATGGCGTCCATCGCTGGTCGGAAATAACAGCTGTCCTAATCATGGCAGAATGTCAGGATGACTCGCTCGTAAGGAAAGGCTTTCCCGGCTTAGGGCAGATGCGCTATCAACTGAGCAGAAAGAGTGTGCAGACGCACTCGTCAAACCAGAAAGCACAAACCGGACGTGCTATCGTCAGTAGATAGCGACGTGGATGGACAGGATCACCAAGCTAGCAGTGCCAGGTGTGTAGCATACAATGCAAAAACTGGAGGAAAAAACAAAGGAAGTAACCGATTTCCAGTGCAATGCTTCTTCGGCGGGGAGAAGGCTGAGGTTTTTTCTGTGGCTTCTGCGGTTACAAAGGGCACTTCCTCAAGAATAACTGGTCTGCCAGACTTTCAGCCAGATGAAGGCGTTAGGATGCAGGTGGGTGTCATTGAGGCGCTGGTTTCTCCGTGCGCACGGAGACAAATCTTGTGGTTAAGTCTCCGTGCGCACGAAGACAAATCTTGTGGTTAAACTATCGTATTTGCTGATATGGAGAGAAATTCCGGGAAGCGTCCCGGTGGAGTACATCGAATTTTCAGGCATGCGTCTAAACGAACGCGCTTCATAGAGGCTTTCTGTGCAGGGTTGGTTGAGCGCGTGAAAACGTTGGTTAGGAACGCTATCACGTAAGCGTCAAGTTCACTTGGTCACCACCATAGTGTAGGCTTTCGTGTGCAAAACGTTAATCAGGGAGCCCAGAAGTAAGTTCAAACCTGGTGATCTTCGGGAAAGCAAGAGCCTCTCGGGGT